AACTTAAATAAAAGGTGTGAAAAATACTAACTCTTTCTCTTAAAAAATTCACTGACCTGGTGGATATAATTCAGTATCTTCTAGAAGTCTCCACTTACTTTCTGGATTTCACTTCGCATTTCATTACCTACTTTCTTTAATGCGACAACTTCTCCAGTTAATTTCGCTAATGGATCACTAGCCGGATCTTCTAAAAATGAACTATAAAAAAACTAATTGAATCCATTTGATACAGGTTAGCTTATGAGAATAGCAATAATGACAGGTAAAGGATATATTTCTCAAGAAATAAAAACAACCTGCCGATGATATGTTAAAAATTGGAAGTTAAAAAAGTGTTGTTTTACGACATTTTACGTCATATTACGTCACGTTATAATTAGTTAATAAAATTTTTTTGCTAACTGGAATATTCTACAAGAAGAATAAAATAAATACGTTTGAATCAGAAGATGACATATTAATGAAGTTGGTAAATTTAAGTAATTTTAATATGATTTATCAAATCTTTTTTTAGTTGAAATAACAAAATTGTGATAATAAAAGTGATGAAAATGTAAATAAGGGATATATAATTGTTCGAAAAAGTTTATTAATTAAATAATTGAATAAGATAAGCAGAAAAGTTAAGGAAGTATTCATAACAACAATAAGTTAAACATTTATAAGTAATAAATGTTCTTTTTTTCTTATCTGACATTTTGGCTACTTTTCAATTTTTTCTTCTTAGAAATTATTTGATAAAAGATAAAGAAAGATTAAGTTACTAATAAATTATGATTAGTCAAACAATGCAATCAAATGAAATGAAAAATAACTGTAAAATATAAATAATTTATATATTGCAATTGTTCGTCTAATCAAATCTCCTACAATGAAACATATCTGATTTAAATTATACATCCATATTTTAAACAATATTTTAATTAAAAAAAGTGAATAATAGTTAAAAATTAAAATCAAATAAAATTTACTTTTCATTTCAGATATTCACAGACGATTTGAAATTTACAATTGTTCTTTTTAATGTAACTAGAAATCCTTATTAAGATATATTTGAATAACAAGTATGTTTTTAAAACCTGTAATTTTTAAATTTGATAGAAAAAATACAAAATAATTTATGAAAATTGACTGAATAATTTCTGGAGAGTTATTTATGATAAATTTTCGCCATTTATCATTGATTTTTATAATTACATTTACACTTATCAGAAGAAATCTTTTCGTTTTTTCTCATTTCTAAATTTCAAATTTATTTATTCATGGTTGATAAACAAAAAGAAAAAGTAAATTTTTAAATTTTGTTTTTCTATTTTAATGTTTAATGCGATTGATAGAAAAAACTTTCATTTAAAAAAAAATTTTTCAAATAAAACTTCAAAAATGGGAGCATAAAAATTATTCTTAGTTGACAACTCAGAAAATAAAAAAAAGTGATGTTAGAAAAATTGTTCCATGCAAAAAAAAACAAAAGTTAAGAATTAAAAAGAAATAGAAATATGAAAGTACCGAAATAAAAGCATAGCAATTTAAACTACTAACAGGAAAAAATGAAAAAAGTAATTATTTCATAAATGAATACATAGTAATGAGTAAGAATAATAATTTCATTTCGAATAAGTTCGCGTGTAAATAAGTATCTGAGACTTTTATATTTTTCGGACAAGTTAATGCTAGTGTGTAGCCTTGGCTTCCAATTTATGAAGTCTTAGTTTCCGATTTATGCGGCATTAGTTTCCTATTCTTTCATCTAAACATTTCTAAACAGTATCCGAATTTGCAGCTAAGAGCTATTTGCTTCATAATTTTCCTTCATATAGAAGCTCTTACTAAATTGTTTCAAAATTTGCATAACTGATGGGAAAAGAAAAAGATATATAAAATATTAAAAGCTTTAAAAAAAAAAACAAAAAACATAATTTAAACATTAATTTAAAACAATCACATCACAAAATGAGTCGCAAAATGAAAAACTAACATCACAGCTATTCACTTAAGTTATATTTTTTATTTTTTTTTACAATGAAATGTCTTTTCAAACATAAAATAAAACGGCAATTTTTTAAAGAAAAATTTATTTCCAAAATGAGAAAAACGGAATAATATCGAGTTAAGTGAACATCAGCCTATAAAGGATTGAAAAATATTACTTAAAAGTGAATTTTTTTTCTCCGTTCTCCGAATTCTACAAAGTGACAATATTTTGAGGAACGGAAAATGAAAAATTGCTAAAATTTAAATGATGAAAGATATTTACTTAATACAATTTTAAACAAATGGTTCAATCGATATGTTACAAATTTCTCGAGACATGCGCTTAATCTTGAACATAAAATTGATTTTTACAAATAAGTTTTTTTAACTGTTTTGTTAATTGAAAAAATTTATACACCTGTTCTGCTCTCAAAATACATTTCCTTAAGTATAGCACACCTCTCTCAAATAATGTTTTCTTTTTCACTACAGTTCTTGTACACTTAAGAATTCGTTAGATTACTTATAAATCTCTCTCTTCCTCTCTTAACCCATTTATGACATTAATAAAATTATTCTGAATAAATATTATTTTTCCTTTACTTTGGTAATAATTTGCTTATCATTAATTTTTTTTATTTGTTCGTTCTTCTGTTTTTTATTATAATAATCGTTATTTTCTTTTTCGTTTTTTTTTTTTTTTTTTTTTTTTTGCATTGCAAAATTTCGTTAAAATCCAATTTTAATTGTTTCGATCACTTATAATGAATCGATCATTTATTGATTATTTAACTTTATTATATTTGAAATATAAGATTGACTATCGATAAAATTGGAACACTAATGAAATATAAAACTAAGTGCAAGTAGGAGGAAAAATAGAGAATGGTTAAATTCTACTCAAATATAAGTAAAAATTAAACAAATAGGAATAAAAATTATTTCGAAATTTAACATTAATTTGAAAATATAAAATAAAATTTGCTGTAATAAAAAAGGGTAGAAAATTTAGCAAATTGTTATTCATACATTGTCATTTACATAGCGATTATTTATCAATTATTATAAATGTAACCCTTTTAATATCTCTAACACATTGTTAAAAAATAATTGGTGAGATAATATCTCTAACACATGTCAAAAATTTCCACTTTTTTTAGATTCTACGAAATTTCAGTACTATTTTCGAAGAAATTTAAATAAGTCCATTGAACTGCTATCTTGATAGATATTTGGTTATAAATTTATTAAAATTTAATGATTAAAAAAAAAATTCTTCACAAAAATCGTTTGCAACATTCAGCAGTTAACCAATGAATTGTTGCAACAAGCAATAGACTACGTAATATGAAATTTATTCGATAAAAATATAAATTCATGAGGCTTAATGCTTTTTAACCATAAAAACGAGAAAGTCCAAAGCATAAAGGATAACAGAAACCAGATGGGTAACATAATGCATTGGAATTGTGAATCACTAAAAAAGAGAGAAAAAATCGAAAGCCGACTACCCATTTCTTTTAGCCTATCTTCTTCAGATGTCCATTTATTTTTTTGTTCTTTTAAAACGAATATTTTTTTTCTCTTTTTCCTGTTTTTCTATTTTTGAAGCATATTCAACAAAAATTTCAACAAGTTTTCAATTTAAAAAAATAAATAAAAACAAAAGTGAACAGAAACCTTGACTTAGATGAGTTAGATTTAAAAGAAAAAGAACTGTAAAGAGTGGCTACTATTTAGCTCGAAAGTACTGCCAAAATAATGATAAAAAGATATTGATGCCAAGCGCAAATTTCGATTTAATCTAGTGGTTTTAACAATGATAAGTAAAGTAGACAAATTTAGTGAAAATTATAAGTGACAACAGTGTTGGAAAGAATTCGTGAGGAAATTAAAAATTATATCGCAAAATTGATAGGAGATTAAGTAGTTGAAAAATAGAGAAATAAAGGCTATTTTGAAACGAAATCTACATTTGGAATTTTCAGTGTCGAAAGATTTTTTAAAGACTAAAAAAGACAATTCCTTCCCATTTAAAAGACGACTTACAAAACTAATTAAATTGGCTTTACGAATAATCTTTATTTTATGGGAGATATCTTAGTTATACTTCAACTATGTCAACATAAGCCCCTATTCTCTACAGCTTTTAGAAAAAAGTTGGGTTCATAGAAGACAGGAGGACTACAAAACTCAAAGTCAAATACGAAGATCAGTATTACGCATGTTCTGTAGACTTCGTTTGAAGAAAATTAATTTTAGCAACTATAATTTTTGATTGGAAAAATTCCAACAATAAGTAACACATAAGAATTTATTAAAACAAAAATCGACATTGCATGGAACTGACAGGAAGTATTAGTTTTTGAAAATCCCACGGAGTCCTTTTTTCATACGAGGCACTTTTCAGACGGCGAACTACTGGAAATCAAAAGCAATTGTTCGGAGTCATTATAAATTTCAAATGAATTACAATTCCTAATAAACTAAGCACTAAACACAGATAAGGGAATTAACCACTGAAGCACAGTTGGAGACATTTTCTGCTTTTGAAAGTAAAACTACTACCTTGAGTCTTGTCGTGAAACAGTCCCGGTGCTTCGACGTAGTTCAACTACTTCGCCCGTGAGTGAGCTGTTCCTAAGTAAGCTGGCGTCCTTGCAATATCCAACGATTTCCTTTCTTTTTGTGTGTGATTAACCTTCAGATTACAACAAAAAAACTGGGATATCTTAAATTAGCATCAAATGTTTGCAAGAAAATATCTAGTTCAAAATTTCATTCTAAAAGCATAATGAGGTTCAAAAGTGCTGTCTGGAAGAGTTCGAAAGGCTTTTTTCCAGATAGCTTGCAAGGATCAATACACTGCTGACAAGCTAGTTAACAAGTATATTAAAACTTCGGATCTGATTAAGGGACAAATCCCAGATGAATGATGTATCTAGTGAATGCACAGTCACATGTACTAGAGAAATGGTTTTGATAAAACTAGCTAGTTTTAGTGCTTAAATTTGACGTAACTACTATGAGCTTTTCACAAAAAGTTGAAATAGTCTTTTATCATCCATATAACTGATCTCCGATTGCCGCGCAACTAATTTTTCTTCATGTTCCATTACTTTGTCTTCGAAAACCTAAAGAGAAATAATTCATATAGATTTAAAGAGTGTTAGCATTAATTTATAAAAATATCTACAAAAGATTAACCACAAAATATTCATGGAAATAAATTTTTTCAAAGCTTACTTTTTCCATATTGCGTTTACGTTCTTCAAGTTCTTTTTCCTTGACCTGTTTCTCATGTATTATTATTATTATTATCATCATTATTATTATTATAATTATCATTATAATAATTATTATTATTATAATTATTATTATTATTATTATTATTATAATTATTATTATTATTGCAATTATTATAATAATAATAATTATTATTATTATAATTATTATTATAATAATAATAATTATTATTATAATTATTATTATTATTATAATTATTATTATTATTATAATTATTATTATTATTATAATTATTATTATTATAATTATTATTATTATTATTATTATAATAATTATTATTATTATTATCGTGCAAATATCTTATTGTGAATTTTCTTAAGTTGAAAATTAAACCATTTTTTGATCGTTACGTTCAAGGAAAATCAGCTAATATTTCTCAATGGTATAATTATATTCTCAATGGTATATTTTATAACAAATCTCAAAAATATAAATTTCGTAAAAATCCCTTCCAGTTCCTTCACTGAATTCCTTCATAAAATAAGATAACACCCGTAATTTCTAGTTTTATAGGAATATTAGAAAACAAAAAATAAAATACTTTTGCACTCAATCCCGTTACGTTGTTTACAGTAATCGATGAATTTTTCGAACGATGTCCAGTGAAATAATGCTCATATAACGATGGCTGCGTTGAACTTGCAGCTGGCACACGTTTATAAATCTTACCAATAATTCATCAATTATTGTAAGTCACCTGATTAGAAGCTGAAATTTTAAAAAAAATTTTTACTTTTATATGATGCAAAGAAGATGCGCTTTATAAACGTTTAGGGATGTGAAAAAAAATTTTTTTTAAATTTAATTGTTTATTCTTAATATCTCGAAAATTTCCAGAAATTTTTCCAATAGAATATGTTATAAATAGTATCCATTAGATCAACCAATTAAAAAAATAGTTTCAGTGGTATTATTTAATTTTAGATTATATCAATATATATATATATATATCCTCGACACGAATGAAATTAAACCTAAACACTTCAGTTAATTAATAAAATAGATCTACCCTAATCCCTTACATCAACTTTGAAAAAGTATTTGCATAATTAAAATGTAAAAGTGCGAATTTGCTGATACTAACACTATGTTTGTCACCAGTTGTCAACAAATGAAAGAACACAAAAGAAAAAAAACAAGTACCACACTATAAATTTCAAAAAGAAATAATTGTAAATAGTGATCGTAATATTAATGATGATAAATTATTAAAATGACAATGATAGCAGTAATACATAATTGATAGTAATATGATAAATGATAATTAATGGTAGCAATCTTCTAATGAACAGTAATAGTTAATACCTAATATGGGAGGAAATATGGGATATGCATAAGATATGTTGATAAGATGAATGATATCATCCGTCTTAGAATGCTTCCATTTTATCAGCTTATTTCCTTATCTTTAAGACCTATCTCAAAGCAATAAGGCATCACCATAATACTGAATGGTCATAGGACCTGTTGCAGGGATAATTCCGATGTGAACAGTTCACCTCCAGCATCCTTCAAAGCAGGTGGTAGTAGTAGTAAGGAAGTAGCTTAATGAACCGGAATTGTCAATAAATGCTAAAATGCACTTAAAACTAATCCTTTCCCTCCTTCTGTGTTACGATCGATTTCATTACTTTCTTTTAAGAATAGTAGAACTACATAAGTACACATACATTCACACACGTAGACATACATATATATGCACACACATGGGACACACACATAGGACACACACATAGGACACACACATAGGACACACACATAGGACACACACACACACACACACACACACACACACACACACACACACACACACACACACACACACACACACACACACACACACACACACACACACACACACACACACACACACACACACACACACACACACACACACACACACACACACACACACACACACACACACACACACACACACACACACACACACACACACACACACACACACACACACACACACACACACACACACACACACACACACACACACACACACATACACATGCAAGAGTGAAGTGAAGAGAAGGAAGCAAAATGAACAGGTGAGGATGTATATATGAAATGGAGATCAGGGATGGTTTCCTTCAGCAATCGCATTTTACATGCGGCACTGTTACATTAAAGCTGCACGCTGAATTCCATATAATGTATTTACTGCTCAACAGAACGTACGTATCGCTCCGTGTTATCCACTACTATGATTACTACTACTGTTACTCTTAATGTTCTCTATGTGCTGTTAAATTAACTCATCCATCATTAGTAGTTCAGATGGCAACCATTTCTCTCACTTTTAATTAAATGTCAAGTTTTAGGATCATTTGCAAACTAATAGATGGATGACCCGATGCTTTTGTCCTGCCAATTGATTCATTTATCAATTGTTTTCTTTGGTTTATACTGTAACAATGAGTGCAATCTACCATTTTGCATTTTTTTTTTCACGTTTTCTCATTCATTCATTATGACTAACCATAATAGATATTTAGTATTGTTATTTGATATTAAATTCAGAGACGTTGATCAGAATATTTTACATTTGATTATTTACTTATCAGTTGCCAACTAGTACCATATTTCGATATGTCCACTTAAGTAATAACAATACCACGAACAATACCTTTAAATAGTAAAGCGAAGCGTTTAGCACTGATTTTTGCATGATCATTATTAAATGAAAGAGTCATAGATGTATAACAGAATATCAGTTGCTTTGTAACAATTATTTCATGATGACATTTATGCAAGTATCTATTTATGTTTTGGTCACTTAAATAAACAATCAAGCGCATATTTTCGTTCCATTTGCATGCCAAAAAATGTCAACATTGAAAAATTTAATAGTTATTTCTTTAATAAAAATTTGCGAGGCACTATATGGAAAATGCATGAAAAAAAAATCACCTGACCCATTTTAATCACCTTCTAATTACACGCATCAACGAAAAGGATCCAAATGAAAGATATCCAAATGAAATGAAAATATATCTAATTTATCTAATTGAAAGAATTCTAACTAAAATATAATATTTAATTAAAAGAACCAAATTACGAGAAAGGGTTCATAATTCGAAAAAAAAAAAAATATGCACCTAATAAAAAAAAACATTTCAATAATAGCATAATTTACAGTGGGAATGCTTTGCATAATCAATAATTTATAACATGCTAAAAATCTACAATAAAGGAATGGAAGACTGTCGATGACGAGATTAAATGTTGAGAACGAACATTTTTTTTTTGCATTGTCTAAAATTCATTTATATAACTCTCGAAAAATCCATGAGAAAAGATTGTACAGAAAAATAACCTAAACTATTGGTACTAGAATTAACATTATTATAAATGGATAAGGTATAATTTGAAGTTTCGATGGAATTTATAATAGATCACAATAACATAGAATTCCAGTTTTATACCTAATTCTATCATTATCACTTAAAATACTAACTGGTACCATTTCCACTATATCCCTCCAGTACTTTCATCCGACACTTCGTCAACAGCGTCCAGATTTCACCTCTTATCCATACCGCTGCTTTTTCATCAAGCTTTGCAATTCCTCGAATATAATCAGCAATTGACAAGCCTACAAAAGATTATCAATTGTTAAATTTGTCCTCGAGAAATTTGAAGGACTAGGATCAAATTGACTGGATTCATGAAAAACATTTATTGACTTTTATTGATGAATTAAATGCAACAATTTGATTCCGAGTAAAGGTCACAATCGCCTCTCTGGCATAATCACAAAAACTGTGGTGATGACTTTTGATTTTATCAAAAAGGTTCATGTCACTATATGTTTCATCAACACAAGTCTATTATAAAAAAAATTTCCTTATAAAATCAACGAAGTCACGAACCAAAATGATCAAATTCATCCATCCTGGAGAAACAACTATCTTCTTTATCATGTATTTTTGAATCAATATCTTTTTGAGTTTTGTAATCCGATGATCTGTCATGTTTTCTTTTACGGCGGATTGGTAGTAAAGTAGTAGAAGTGCCGGGGACTGCAAATTCAGAGCACAATTCCTTTGATGAAATATTTTCACTCAAATTTTGTAGACCATTCTCTTCTTTCATCATAATGCAGCATCTAAATTTTACTAAGAAATAAATTTGGTCTCTGAATAATGCTAGAAAACCCTACTCGAAACAAGTCTGTCAACAAACAATAAAATATTGCATTTCTTAGATGATTCCCTATAAGTTAGCCATTATTTCCAAGATAAAAATTATTTTTATTTCAAATTGTGAAACAGTAAAGTTTCCCGAAAAAAAACCAGAAATAAGACTTCATAATCTTACCGAGATTGCTTACAAGGCATCAAAAATTTCAGGTCTTCAGAAAATTTGAATGACGGAAATCGGCATTCATTAGGCTCCATATTTCTGATTTTGTTGATAAATCGTACGTACTGATCTCTCAAGGACTTCCATTGCCTCGCTATATCATCCGCTAAATATCACTTTTGCGCTTATATTTAGAAATGGCTTCAATTATATGTCACATTATTTCATAATCGTTTTGACTTATAGGTTCTTCGTTTCGTTTCATAGTTGCTTCTTTATTTAACTATCAAAATCATCTATACGAAAGTAAAACAAAAGCTTTTAAATCCTGGAATGAATATATTATAAGTTCGTATTTTCACGAATATAAAATTTAGCTTACATCAATTTAGTATATTATACGTTTCGAAAGCTTTACATTATTCATATTTATTTGGTAATCATTTCGAAGATACCATTCAAAGCATATCCCGTTCGATGATAGAAAGATTCAATGACTTCGTTCCTCTCATTTGCCGCATATTGTAAGTCCCTATATTTTGGATGGTTATGATCCCATAAACAGGGTCGTTTCTTCATTTCTTGTATTAAAATCTCACGTAGATCATCTGTCCATATTACTGAAAATGTTTTTGTCAAATCTAAAAAATTCTGATTTGAGCTAATTTTTGATCATTTTGCTGTTTTCATCATATCTAAAGATCTTAGCTATGCGATATTTCAGTTTGGTATATCACTTTGTATGGTTTCAAGCTTTTTATCAGCTCCCATCACTTTAAATTTTCAATAAAAAGCTTACTTCTTGTTTTTGCCATCCGATCTTCTATAGCTGACGGTGACTTTGCACTTCCACCCACGACCACAACATCTAACAAACTTTATATTTAATTTTCAAAATGAAATTTGACAGTAAAATCTTCACTTTTGAAACAAGTGTCACAATACCATAAAAATAATAAGTAAAATACTGCATACCTAATTTAGGTTTAACAGATGATACCGATGTCGTAGTAATTAAATTCGAAGATGAATATATGTGATCACCGAATGACATTGCCGTTACCGTAGCATGTTCACTATGAGTATTGTTTGTAATATCATCAGTGTTACCATAATTACGTTGAACCTGAAATTCTAATGAAGAAAAGTCTATAATATACTACAGTAGACTGCAATTTCCCCTTTACAAATTTGTAAGTTGCAGATGGCACATAAGTCAACAATCTTATTTCTTTGATCTAAATTATGCATTTTACAAGCATTCTTGTAATTCTCTTCATAAAAAAAAGAGAAAAAAAAAAAAAAAAAACTAAATGAATTAAAGGAGTTAACACATGTCCATGAAATCACATTTTTGATTACACAACAATTAGGTTTAAATATTCAAATTAAGAAAAATTCTTTTTCTCAATTTAAAAAACTTCTAAGCAACATCTCTATATTATTAAACAAACGCAGACATCAGTAGCTTTTTCGGTAGAAGCAAGTAATTGTTGCGTATTGCTTTGGTCAGTAAAATCCACATCAGCGGCATCACTATTATGCCAAACATTTGTTGAAACAGCTCCTGATTCTGTTCCATCTCCTGAATTTGTAGGATCATTGACCAATGTAATGAAAGCGTTTGATGATCCTAACCCATTAGTCCACTGTAACGTTCGACCATTATCGGTCCCATGTTCATTTCTGCAAAATAAAAAAACCAATGAAAAATGAAATAGGATTCATAAAAATTTGTTGGAATATGTTGAAAGTCACGTCATTTTTTTAGTTGCGTCTTTCTATTTTGTCCTGCTAATCGGTTTTTGTCACCCTAAATAGCCACAACAGTTAGCAAATAATATCACCGAATTCATGCGAACGGCAGGAGTGCGGATAGCCCAATAGCTGATGGCGCAAATGAATACCACAACGATAGTATGAATGAATTGCAGAATATTCTAATAGAGATACGAATACATATGGTGTTTGCATATGGCGTTAGAACTTAGTGATTTATGCCGTAAGTTTACATATGGCATAATGCATACAGAATTCTGATGAACTACCGAGATTACGGATACGATCATACCATATATAAACCAATACAGCATGCAAACTTTTGCTGATCTTATCGTAATTATATTTCGATAGCTTCACTATGAATTTATCTACAGTATTCTCTTGATTTATTTCAAGCTTCCGATTATTGCTACTTTCGTAATTTAAGAAATTCAACCGGAATAAGTACGACGAATTTCGATTTTTTACAATAGATTTTTATCACTGCAGTTTTGATAGAAGTAATAATAGGATTAATGTGAAGTGAGTCAGTCAAAGATAGTAATGAAATACTGATTAGATGAATGAACTCGTACAGGAGCAAATAAAAATTAATTGAACCTACGAGGTGTTGCTGAACTGACCGGCTTGTTCATCGGGAGCCTTCCTTGTTGGCATCATCGAAACTCAGGAACAACAGCAATTATTATAATAATAGTAACTCATAACAGTAATAATATCATCACACTTTAAATCTCAAAAAGTTGTAAAATTCCGTAGAATTTTTAAATTCATAATTAAATAAAGTCACATAACCATAATAACAACAACAACATTAGTAATAATAACGCTCATTACTTCAAAGCAGCAACAATCACACACGCTGCGCTGTCGCCAGCCGTATCAATAGCATCGCTATGACGCGCGCGCTGCACACT